GTATATTATAATTTTATTTAAAATAGACATTTGCTAATAAGGAAGAAATTTTTTAACATTGATACCTGGTCAGGGTGGGCTGCTCTATGTTTGCCTCGTAGACAAGCGATGGTGGGGTGTACGTCCGCTGGTGCAGGCCCATAGGTTGCCTCATCTACACTAGGTTGCTTTCTAACTCGATGTCTTCTAGGTCTTGTTGGTTTGTGTGCCATTGCATTTATGCTACTAATTCACACTAAAATAGAGAACATAATATTAGTAAAACATGAAGTTGTAAAAATTATTATGGGATGATAATGATAATATCTAAACTTAATTATTATAAAGACATTTACAGAAAAATAAAATTTTAATATATAATGATATGTTTAGAATAATGAGAACTTCACAATTTTTAAAAATTAGCATCAAAGAGAAATTTTAAAATAGTATAATTATTAATAACAAAAATTCTGGGATAAATTTTATTATTTATTAAGGGATCATAGTGATAATGTATACACTTAATATTAAAAATATTAAACAACAATAATAATTTCTAAAAATTAATTTCATTAAAAAAAATTTAGAATCATTCTCATCCATCCAAAATGAATTAAATGGTTGGGATTGATAACTGTACAAAGAAGCTGCTTACTTTAGGGGTCTCTAATGTAATGGGTGAGAGGGGAAGTGATTACTCAATATAACTGCGAGCAATTCATCACTTATCTAAGTAAAATTTCCTTTATCGTTAGACTCCTCCCTAACAATTCCTTTCAATTCTACATCTACTTTCTTGACTACATTAGATCTCAATGAACACAGTAAAGGTCTTCTTTCTGTCTTCATGGTTCCCTTAAGCAATTTTGCTCAATCTAACAGACACCATCTTTTCCATACAAGAAAATTAACCCACTCTTCATCCCAGGCAAGAGCAAACTAAACCAAGAAAGCAATTTGAACCAAACCCGCCTCTCAATCCACCCAAAAAAGAAAAAAAAAAACAATAAATGCAAAGCAACTTAGGTTCCACCAACTCCACCAGCCGGGTCAGACGATATAGCAGCAAACGGAAGCTCGCAAATCGCAACAGAGGCACCATAGTTCGCCGCGAAGCTCGTAGCACGGACCCCTCCACTCCCTGCGCCGATCGTGAACAGGTCGAAGTCGAAGTTATGATGTTCGACTACAGCTCCGTTGTCACTTCCTTCATCGGCTTTCGCTCGAGCGCCGAAGCAACGTTGATGGAGGGAATTGGTACGAGGTATAAATAGAAGCGGAGATGCAGCGGAGAGGGGGGAAGGAATCTTTCTAGCTAGTATTTGAAGCGTTGAAGAAGAGGAGAAGGGGAGGAGCTGTGCGGTGAGGGAGGCGACGGCGGAGACGGCGGTGACGGCCATGGATTGGGGTTTTGCGATTGTTCCTATGGTGGCGATGTGGAAATAAAGAGAGAGTTCGGAATTAAAAAAAAAACGGAGTGAAGTCGCTGTTAACGGAGTGGTGATTTTGTTATAAAAATAGAGAATATGTGGTATTAATGTAATATTTATGAATTAGATGTTAAATATGTAATATATATGTTATAAAGTGATATGTATGTAAAAATCCCAATTTTAAAATAGTATAATTATTAATAACGAAAAATTCTGGGATAAATTTTTTTATTTATTAAGGGATCATAGTGATAATGTATACACTTAATATTAAAAATATTAAACAACAATAATAATTTCTAAAAATTAATTTCATTAAAAATAATTACACTAGAATTTGAGTCGGTTACAAAGGGCTGACTCGCCTCCAAGGGCTATCAGATTACAACTAACAACTGTTCGATATAGGTCTGGTGTTAGACCCAGTGTCACTTGATAGTACCCTGGCGTCACCTGGAAGTTCGGGTGTTGGTTGGTAGTTTGGCCGTAAGCAGAACGTTGGACCTTGAACAGAGCGTCGGGCCTTCAGTAGAACGTCGGGCCTTAAGCAGAATGTTGGGCCTGAACGACGGGCCTTCAGCAGAACGTCGGGCCTGAACGTTGGGCCTTGAGGTGCATGGTGGTGCAACGAAGCTCCGACGATGGTCCGGCGAGGTTCCGACGGCAGTCCGGCGAGCTCCGACGGTGGTCATGCGAGGTTCTGGCTGTGGTCCAGCGAGTTTCCGGCGGTGGTCCGGCAAGCTTCGGTGGTGGTCCGGAAAGGTTCCGTCGGTGGTCGAGGAGGAGCTTCTTCCTTCTCTTCATTCTCTTATCCTCTCCTCTTCTTCTCTTCCCTTCTTGCTTGAGTCCCCCTCTTGTGAAGAATGAGGGCTCTATTTATAGATTTTTTGGAGTGGCATGCTCGAAAATAGGCGTGAAATCAGGGGGATAGGGAGTGATTGAATGGACAGCCAAGTATCGAATCGCACGATCGTGCACGTTCCATCTGTACATTTGAAGTCTTTAGGATTCGGAATTCGGCGATCTTGGGGCTCGTTCGTTGTCTCGTTGACCGTTCGTTCGGTATAAGCTCGTTAAAATCGGAGAGCTGCGTTTGTAACTCAAATTGCGGTTTGAAGGCGCTTCCACATGCACTTCGGGTCCCTGTGATTCGGACTCACTTTGGCTTTCGGATTGGGTCGAATTTGGGCCGTTGTGTTCGTATTTCCGAGTACTGCTCTAGTTTGCTATAAGCTCGCTGAAATCAGCTTTTAAACCTGCTCTTGAATTTAACATTTTTTAAGTTTCGGTTGTAGATTTGCCTCGATATTCGTGCTTGGATCAAAGCATAATTTTATGATATACTCTAGTCATTATCTTAATTATGATCTTTAAATACAAAAAATTTTATTGTGCAGAAATTTGTACAACGTCATTCTTATTTATATTATATATTACATAAATTAATAATTAGTCAAATTTTTATAGTTTTCTAATCTCACTAAAATATTTAGATTAAGATATATAATTTTAAACTCATTCTTAAACAAAATTCTACAAACTTTTAATTAATATATATATTATAAAATGATATATATTTATAACTTTCAATGATCTTTTATTATTAAAAAATAAACTATGATAACTAATTATCATTTAATAGAGATAATTACATTAATATATACACTTAATTATTAAAAATAAACAGTAAAATAATTTAACACAACAAAATTCTCTCCAAAAATCTAAAATAAATTGCATCTTTTTGCGGAAAAAAAAATCTCGTACTTCTTTATTAAAAAAAATCTCGTACCTCCGTTGACTTGAAAAAAAATAAAAATAAAAAACATTGAAAATATAAAATAAATCAAATATTATTTTTTATTGTTTCTTTTCTTTGGTTCTGTGTGTTGAATGAATATTTATTACGGATATTACTTCACTTTTCTTTTAATTTTGTACATATAATCTATTTATTGAATTGATTCATTAGGAGTGTAAATTAACATTCCTTTTGTTTTTGTTTTTAATTTAATCAACTCATTAAATTGACATTTATGAGGGGTGTTAATTCTCTTTCATTTCTTTTATTTAGTTATTTGTGTTAAATGAATATTTATCACAGATATTATTTCACTTTCCTTTTTGTTTTTTACATTTAATCTATGTATTAATTTGATTCATTAGGGGTGTAAATTAACATTTCTTTAGATTTTTTTTTTAAATTTAAACTAAGCATTAAATTGACATTTATCATTGGTTTTAATTCCCTTTCATTTTAATTTCTTTTTTATTTAGTCTATTTATTAAATATGCATTCATTAGAAGTTTTAATTTAAATTCCTTTTTATTTATCAATCTATATCTATAAATATTATACAAAATTTATAAACAATCCACCATGGAGGCGGAGAATGAGGTAAAGCGTGGACCCTTTCTATATGCTATAGTCTACAAGAGTGGACCGCCCTCAGGCTCTTTATCGGAGCTCAACACCAATATATCAGGTAATTCAAATAGACACCTCGTTTATCAATTTCTTTTAAGAATTAAAAAACAATTAAAATGAGCTGAATTGAAAATTGGAATTAAACACAATAATAACTTTACAATGATGATAATATGTTTGATACAAGAAAACATAGCTCTCAAACTTTCAATAAAATCTTTATATTATAGAATGACAAACGTTCCTCTAAGACATTATTTTGATGTCATCCCACCTTGAAGGCGAACTATTAGGTAAATGGTGTTGTCCTTCTGGATGTTGTAGTATGCTAGAGTTCTCTCATCCTTCAGCTCTTTTTCGGCATAGACTAGCCTCTGCTCATCTGTATTAATGCCTTGTTTTTCTTTGATCATGACTTTCATATTTGAAATAGTTTCTGAAGGCTCCACCTGGAGGATGAACTTATTCCCATTAAGGGGCTTCACAAAAATCTGCATCTATAGTAAATAAAGATGGTAGCACAAAAAATGAGAAAAATGAGATGTTTTTATGTAAGAGATAGGAACAAAATAAAAAAAATAAAAAAAAAATAAGATTGACATATTCATCAAACATACCTTCTCATCATTATCAACAATTTTAATTGATGTTGTCACTTTTTTGCCATCAGCAGTTTTTATCATTAAGGAGATTTCCATCTGCGAAAATAAATTTAAATGAGTAACATAGAAACAATAGTGAGAAAAATAAAAAATAAAAGAGCACTCTCACTGCAAGTATGGGCAATAGCAAAAGAATCAACTTGTGAGAAAAAAAAAAAAAAAAAAAAAAAAAAAAAAAACACGAGGCAACGTTTTATATAGATGACAGGTTTAGTTGTCCTTGAAGGGAGTAATTATTACATTCAGACAAAAAATTGGAAATCTTGATATACACCGAGCAATACCGAGTGCTTAATATCGAGTTTCATGTGACATGGTGCGTGATTATTAGTCTCTGAACGCGTCGATTGACCTGACGTAATAATTGACACGGGCCACTCTTTAACTGATTTGGTGAGTGTCCTTTCAACCGGGCTCACACATCTGCCAGAGTTAGCATGCAATAAGTTCATCCTCGAGGTGGAGCCTTCAGAAACTATTTCAAATATCAGAGTCATGATCAAAGAAAAACAAGGCATTAATACAGATGAGCAGAGGCTAGTCTATGCCGGAAAAGAGCTGAAGGATGATAGAACTCTAGCATATTACAACATCCAGAAGGACAACACCATTTACCTAATAGTTCGGATGCCAAAAAAATAATTTTTTTTTTTTTCTCACGATTGTTTCTATGTTCCTCATTTAAATTTATTTTTGCAGATGGAAATCTCCTTAATGATTAAAACTGCTGATGGAAAAAAAGTGACAACGTCCATTAAAATTGTTGATAATGATGAGAAGGTATGTTTGATGAATATGTCAATCTTATTTTTTTTTTTATTTTTTTTAATTTTGTTCCTATCTCTTACATAAAAACATCTCATTTTTCTCATTTTTTGTGCTATCATCTTTATTTACTATAGATACAGATTTTTGTGAAGCCTCTTAATGGGGATAAGTTCATCCTCCATGTAGAGCCTTCAGAAACTATCTCAAATATCAAAGTCATGATCAAAGAAAAACAAGGCATTAATACAGATGAGCAGAGACTAGTCTATGCCGGAAAAGAGCTGAAGGATGATAGAACTCTAGCATACTACAACATCCAGAAGGACAACACCATTTACCTAATAGTTCGGATGCCAAAAAAATAATTTGTTGGAGGAGCGTTTCTCACAATATAATATAAAGGTTTTATAGAAAGTTTGAGAGCTATGTTTTCTTGTATTAAACTTATTATCGTCATGGTAAATTTTATTATTGTGTTTACAATTTTAAATTCAGCTCATTTTATTTTATTTTTTTAATTCGTACGCCCATATACCCTAAAAGAAATTAATAAGCCGAGAAGTCTGCTTGAATTAATTGATATATTGGAGTTGTGCTCCGATAAAGAGCATCAGGTCAGCCCACTCTGATAGGAGAAATTATTGTGTACGTAATCCGAACGTATTCGGATGTGCGTACACACTGCTTATTTTATTGCGTATTTTTTGATACATAATTTTTTCGTGCCAAAATAAGTAGCAAATAAATAATACTCACTAAATACAGAAAAAATATGCAAAAAATACGTATAAAATATTATGTATCAAAAAATACACAACAAAATAAATAATGTATACGCACATCCGAACACATTCGAATTGCATACACAATAATTTCTCATATGGTAGACTATAGCTAGCATATAGAAAGGGTCAAAGATCCACTTCATTCTCCAGGTCCATGGTGGACTGTGTATAAATATCTGTAATAAATATTCATTACAGATAATAATTGATTTATTTTATATTTTCACTTTTTTTTTTTTTTTTTGTCAAGTTAACGGAGGTAGTGGAACTACGAGAATTTTTTTTTTGGAAAAGATGCCATTTATTTTAGATTTTTTTTTTCTTTTGAAAAGAAATCTTTGGAGAGACTTTTGTTGTGTTAAATTATTTTAAGGTTTATTTTTAATAATTAAGTGTGTATATTAATGTAATTATCTCTTAAATAACAATTAATTATATATTAATTAGCTACTATAGTTTATTTTTTAATAATGATTGATATATCATCAAGGAATTATCTTGATCCAACACGAATCTTGACGCAAATTATGTTGAAAATTTCAAAAATTAATTCGGAGACTATATGAACTCCAATTTCAACAAACTTATGGCCGAATTGAATGTCTCGGAAGTATGAACCTAACGACATAAAAAACAACTCAATCTGAGCCCAAATGTGTCTGAATCAAAGACCAGAAGCTTTGTTGGAAGGTTCAAATCATAATTTGGATTAACAAACGGTTTCCAAACATGACATGCTTATAGTCGAATCGATCGACTCGACGAGATGAATCCAACGAGCCCAAGATTGTCAAATTTTTATATCATTAATACCTTCAAATGTTTGACGAACGGTCCACGATCAAGGGATTCAATATCGACCATTAGTCCAAACCACTCCCAATTTGCTCTTGATCCTCCTCCTATTTATGAGTCATGCCATCCTCAAAAAATTATAAATAGCCTCTCATTTCTTTTAAGAGGGGACCTAAGCAAGAAGGAAGAAGAGGATAAGAGAAGAACAAAAGGAGGGAAGAAACTCCTCCGCCACCGCCAGAGTTCTACTCAACTTTCAAGCGAGGCCGGAGTTCCGCCCAACTTTCAAGTGACGCTGGAGTTCTGCCCAATTTTCAAGTGACGCCAAAGTTCCGCCCGACTTTCAAGTGACGTCGGAGATCCGCCCGACTTCCAATTGACGCCAAAACTCCGCCTGATCTCCAAGTGATGCCAAAACTCTGCCCGATCTCTAAGTGACGTTGGAATTCTTTCCGATCTCCAAGTGACTATGTAGTTTTGCCCGAATACCATCTAACACCGAAGTTCTCCTCGGCCGTCGTCTGACGTCGGACTTCTAACCGACGCTGGAAATCCGCTCGTCACCATATTTTCTACACGATGTTGGAATTCTACCTGTTGTCGGACGTTCGCCGGACATCTATATGATGCTGGATTTTTGTCCATTGCTGAACTTCTACCTGACGCCGTCCTTCTGACCTCCGTCGTCAGACAACGGTCTTTTCGACCTCTGTTGCCCACCGACTACGGTCCTTCCAACTTACGTCATCCATCGACTACGGTCCTTCCAACCAAATGAACACGTCAATAGTGACTATTTGTATTCCCATCATGTACTTCATATAATGTACATTAAGCCAAGGCCTTCCCCCTAAGGAATGACCACATTTGTAATCGACTGCGAATATTAGTGGATTATTTCAAACTGGGCTAGGCCCCGTGGGTTTTCCCCCTTTTTAGTGTTATTTCACGTAAAAATCTTGGTGTTCCTAAAAATGACTCACCCTGATTACAAGATGGATCTTTGTACGATGCTAAGAATCTAAACTTTATATTTCTCTACAGCCGTGAATTCTCTAGAACGCAACAATGATAATATAATTAAATTTAATTTAATATATACGATTTAATTAATATTAGATTTGATACGTTATCATGAAATTATCTTGATTGGGCACGAATCTCGATGCAAAACTCAACTCGAAAACTTCAAAAATTAATTCCGGGAGCATCCGAACTTCAATTTCAGCGAGCTTATAGTCAAACTGAGCGTCTCGGAAATACAAACCAAACGACATCAAGATCAACCCAATCCGAGCCCAAATGAGTCCAAATCAAGGATCCGAAGAGCTGTTGGAAGGTTCAAACCGCAATTTGAGTTATCAAACGGTCTCCGATTTTAACGAGCTTATACTCGAATCGAGCGGCTCCACGAGACAAATCCAACGAGCACAAGATCGCCGAATTCTGACATCATTAAGGCCTCCAAATGTCCAATGAACAATGCACGATCGAAGGGTTCAATATCGGCCATCTATTCAAATTATGATTTGAACCTTCCAACAACGACATCATTACGTCGCCCGCCGACTACAGTCCTTCCGACCTCCATCACCAGCAGACTACGGTCCTCCTGACTTACGTCGCCCACCGACTACAAGCCTTCCGACCTCCGTCGCCAGCCGACTACGGTCCTCCTGACTTACGTCGCCCAGCGACTACAAGCATTCCGACCTCCGTCGCCCGTCTACGGTCATCCCGACCAAAAGAACATGTCAATAGTGATTCTTTGTATTCATATTATGTAATGTACTCTATAAAATGTACATCAAGCTAAGGCCTTCTCCCAAGGAAGGGCCTCATTTGTAATCGGCTGCAATACTAGTGGATTCATTCAAACTGAGCTAGACCTCGTGGTTTTTCCCCCTTTTTTAGGGGTTTTCCACGTAAAAATCTTGGTGTCTCATAAATGCTAGACCATCTCTCTTATCTGATTGCATGCCGGATTTTCGTACAATGCTAAGACGATAAACTTTATATTTCTCTTTCGCCGCGAATACTCCTAGACGCAACAACCAGCAAACTCAAATAAGAGCAGTTATAGAATTCAAATTTCAAGGATTTAAAGCCCTACCAACATTCCGGCCTGAAGGATTAAAATTACACGTGCAATAAAATTATAATTTTTTTATCTATATAGAGAATAGTGTAACCGAAGGGTAAGCACCAACACATAAGAACATAAAATAATTTAAAATTTTCTTCAATGATGAAGTAGTACAATTAGTTTCAGATGGTTGATAGAGTTGCAGACAGAAAAAAGCAACAAGATTGCTGATTGCAAGCAGTGCGTACATGTGCACAAATGGATAAAAATCAAACACTAGCAATGCTCTTTGTCCGACTATCATGATCTGATCTTTGTCATTTGACTATCATTATCTAATCGTAGTCACCTATATGTTACAATATAATTGTGTTTGCTCGGGTGTTATCACCCTATCCTAGTTGCCTGATTGTCTTTGCTTGATCGAGATCCCTCGAAATTCATCACCTAATTGCCTTCATTTGAGTGTTATTGCCCAATTGGCATCCACCATCATTTGACTAATATCACTCAACCATCGTCATTGACAGCTTTCTCCAAATTGCCATTGATTATTGATGGCATTGACATCTATCGACTATCATCTGTCTCTTAACAGTCGTCATCATTTTAGGAGGTCCAATTAGTATTCTATATTTTTTAATCTCTACGAGGGGAATGACAAACTTTTATAATATTTATTTACATATTCAATTATTTTATATGGGCGAAGCCTCTCAATTTTTTTCTATTTATGAGTTTTTTCACATAAAAATTATAATGACTTTTTGTGAAACTTTTTTTTTTTGCCCCGCACATAAATATTTGTGCAATGTCAAGACAAGCCGAAGAGCTATTTAGTCGGCCTTACCTCAAGCCTTTTTAGTCTAATAAGCAATTTCTAAAAAATTTTGACCGAGAACAATGTTTAAACATCAAAGGCTAGATTGAGGCTAGTTCCAAATGGGATTTGTCGTCCAAACAGATTTTAACAATTTCTGAGTTGTCGGGTTTATAATTATAATTGTTCAAAGCTAGTTTAGTGATCTGCAACATGCAAGACTCGGTATTTATCCAAACCAAAACCTGATTAAATTAACTCAAATGATTTTTGGTGTCGAAAAAGATAAAAATAACTCCATTTTTTTTTTTGGGAAAATTCGGGGCTTAGCCCATGTATTGATAAACCAAGAAGATTACAAACTCAAAACCAAAACATAACTAAAAAATTACATGAATTTCTATACCCCCAAAGCCCAAAAAGGAAGTATGAAAAAACATAATAAGAGGAGGAAAATAGGACTCAGAAAAAAAGGACTACACCCAAAAATGCAAAGCCTGGATAGTAAAACCAGGCTTCCAATACGTTCAGCAGCTCGGAAAAGGGCACTGGTTGCCACAGGAATGCAAGATAACAGATCCAGGACCCTCACAGTGTCCCAAAAAGCAGCACCCCAAAATCATAGAAATCATATATTTGCACATCCAGGTTGCCCGTAGACCCTCCATGGATGAGCTGGATGTAGTCCATGGCTCATCATTGTCCAAACCTCCTCTAATTCCCCCAAAAAAAACTTATGTAACAAAAAACTGTAGCTCCTAAAATTTTCCAGACATGAATGGACAAAAAGAATCCCAAAAATTCAGCCTCCCCAGAATAATACCAAATTTTCAGAAAAGTAGAAAAAGAGCCCTGAAG